ACATTTGTAATGCGCGCGTGAAAAATTTTCCAAAAGAAAAATTGAATTTCACACATATTTAAACATGAACTAGTAGATAATTGGACAACCAACCAAACAAACAAACGAGGGAGTGGGTGCGTGAGTGAGCGAACGAGCGAATGTAATTTGAAGACAGAATTATTTTACAATTAGTTAGACATGTAATATTCAAATTATGCATACAATAAATGCATCAATTTCTTATTTCTCTTTTCTTGGAAAAGAAATTGACTTTTTTCTTCCTTTTCTTCTTTCTTTCTTTCAAAAACAGAAATGAGTGAATACAAGATTTTTCAAGAAAGCCTGCTGAGCTATATATGATATGATTAGATTGGTTATGATATGTAACAAGCAATCGGCATAGCAGATTCTTGCTGTCATTAAAAAAAAATTCTACCTAGAATAGCAACAATTACAACAGTGGTGATAATAATAACAATAATAGTTTCGTTCTAAATAGCATCAATTTCCTATTTTGGCTTTTATTATGAAAACATAATTAATGAAAGGTGTTGTAGTAAATTTCAATATTCAGTAATTTGTCTTTTCCATTTTTTTTTAAAACACAGTTTACATAGTCATGTAAACTCATTTGACATACATACATGTTGAAATGTGTGAATGTACTGTATAGAAGTGGTATTTAAAATAAGGAGGGGAGGGTTTAGTGAATAGAGACAAGATAACAAAATGAATAATTAGAATACTGCTAATCATAACGTCAGCAACAGAGTAAAAAAAAGCAAATCTATTTATTACAATTAATTCCTAAGAGGAAAGTAGTAAAGAGTTTACATATATGTAAATGGATAGACAGTAATTTTCGAAATAATTAGTTATGTTTTCTCTATTTTGTCTGGTTAGTTATATTGCAAAATATTAGGCGATAGAGAGAGAGGGGAGGAGGAGCGGGACAATGGGAAGTAAAAAAAGTCAACTACACTGAACAATAATACTGTCTACAACTTCATTATCATTATAATCAATATCTCATCTAATTGTAATACATGTTGTTCAAGATAATTTCTCAGCTGTTCCAACAAATTTTAGTAAAAAATTAAAACTGATGACATAGTAATTACAAGATTATCATCATCTCTTGATAGTGACCGGTATGTGATTTTCCTTAGTAATACAGGATGTATGATAGCCATATAGCATATATATATATGTATATTTAAGAGAAGAAACTAAAATACAGTCAGAAAATATAAACTATTTAACACTAATTTGTTAACAAAACAGAAAGAAATGTATTGAAAAGTTAATTCTTTTCATTTTAAAGACAAAACCTAATCTCACCCTCTCTCTATCTCACTCTCTCCATGTGGTTGTATTTAAGGGATAATTTCGAAAACTAATTATTGATAAGTATAATATATCGTATACTGATATTGTGATAACAGTAGTATTTATAGTGATAGATTATAATCAGTAGGAGTTATTTTGTGTTGTGCTTTTTTCCAAGCGTTTATTCTAAATGTTTATATAGAGAGTTTGCTTGTGTGTACATGTGCGTGTGTGTGTGTGCATATGACAACGACCGAGATATAAGAAGAAACGATGATAATGGACCATATAAACTATGGTGGAAATTAGTTAAAATTATATCTTGTCAACATAAATTGTAGTTAATTATCATTATAGTTAATCAAACGGTAATTTTAAGAATACATGGTAGAGAGATCTATATAAAGTGGATAATTGTATGTAATTTATGTATTTACATAAGTAGAATTGATAGTTAGTCGGTGTTTGCTTTTTTTAAGAATTCCGTTATTTTTGATTATAAATATCTCATTATTAGTTTGTTTAGTTTGTTTACCAATTACCATCTTAATACATTTGTATTGTATCAGCTTATTGAAAACTAGCTTGAATTGAGGAGTAGTTTTGCTCTAGTCGGAAACTTATACAAAAAAACTCACCTGAAGTTACTTATTAGATTTAGTCCAATATCCTTTTTTTTAGAGATAGTACAATACCTTTCGAACAGTAATTTGAAATTCAGCTATTCATACTAATAGCGAATTCAGTGTATCCATAATATGATACAGAGATCATAACATCTTATCGATGAACTGTATCTCGATGTTGATGCAACTGATCTCCCCCCCCCGATCATGAAACCTTTTTAGAATTTCAATAGAACACTGACAAAAAAGATCTTAAAGTTAAATGGAAATTATATTCTGAAATCATTTTTCTTCGTTCTTTACCAATAAATATTTCTTGTAAGATTGTCTTTTTGAACAGTCAAATTTAGAAAGAGGAGAGTGAATTACAGTATGGAGGGACATAGACTTTCATATTAATCAGAAACGAATAATATATCTCTTCTACGAGGATGACAATAAAATTGATTCATTTTTATAAACTAAATTTGAATAGAGTGAAAAGATTAGTTTGTGTCAATCTTAATTGAATCATTCATCCATGAAATCATCATCAATATTCAATATTAATCAGTTAGAAAAGTTTAACTTGACTTAAGATGATTGTAGGTCATTGACAAGTAACTATGATCCAAGGTTTTTTCATATTAAGTATCGTCATCTTGAAAATAATATATTTTGGACTTTTCTCAACCACTATCATCATCATCAAACCTAGATGCACTAGACGACTGTTTCGTCTCACTGGCATGGGACTTCTCGATTTCCGTGTGTGCGATCGTGGATGCGCACTACTGAGGTGTTCTATACTAGAACGAAATGGCAGTCAAGTGCTACCAGCTTTTCAATATTGGTCTAGTTTAAAATAACTCTTGAAATCAACTATTAAACTTACCCCAATTTCCAAAAATCCCCATTCTGATAAAAGAAAACTGACAAATTCAACGCTTATTTATATTTGTTTTTTAAGGTTAAATGATGTCTAGAAGATGAAAGAAACTATCGATTTTTATGACACGATTCCAGTTATCGGCGCAAGTTAACAAATTATTAAGCTACATAATGATTTGAATATTTCAATGCGAAGTAATGTTAGTTGTTGCATGATTGGAATTTGAGATTAACTGGATAGATATCTCATTTTTTTTAAACTTACATTAGGAACTTAGTGTATCTAGACAACCATTAATGATCAGTAAAGTCTGAACATGTAACTGGTATATTCATTTCTCGTTAAGGTAAAACTACGCTATACTGACAGCATTGAACGACTAATGAAAATTAAGCTCTCCGATGGGTGAATTTCAAACTCTGTTGCAGAGAGCTTGTTGTTGAAACTCATGATTTTGATCATATTTCGCCCTTTGGAAGGATTAGATGATGGATTTCTCGTAGAACGAACAGTTAAAGTTCAAAACGTTAACGTTAAGAGTGTTGAGATCTGGAAAACTAAGGTTAGAATTTAAGGTTTTGGAGTGTTAAAGTTAGAAGTACTAGAGTTAAAGCGAGTGTTTAAAATGTATCAGTTTTAGGAGTTTGGGTTAAGAAGCTTTAAGGTTAGAGTCTAGGTTTGAGGAGATTTCGGGTTAGGAGTTAAGTTTCAAAAGATTTTAGGCTATAAATTAGGGTTTAGCTTGACTACAGAGCTTTGGACTATAGTTTAACGTATCAATATTTATCAGTAATACGTTCAATAATAGCGTTAAAACTTTTAATCCTCTAAAATTTCATCATTTTTCTATATTTCAGAGCTCTTACACTAAATCCGAATCCAGACCGTCTATTTTTGATGGGTTAATACTAAAGTCATCCTTAAAATTGCCTAAAATCGTCAGTATAGTTTCACCCTAATAATCTCATACTAAAGCAAAACAATTGTTTAATGCTTCTTATTTTCCAATGGTTTTTCATCTACATATAAACTATAATGTTCTGAAATGTCCATTAAACATCCTATATAAATATTTCGTTTTATTTTCAAACTTGTCAGAAGTATTCATCCTAGATATTAAAAGTAAATCAACTCAACAAATTCAAACTTCGTTATGAGAAATCTGAAAATTAAGGGTAAAAACAATAAGGTTATAATCTGTTGTTTTCATTACATGATCAACAATCGCATCAATATACACTATAAACTATTCATTTATTAATCAATAATTCATGTTAACAGTCTTACACAATAATTGTTAATGAAAATATGTTGATTCTGTATGACCAGTAGAGTTCAATCCGTGTCAAGTAGTGTCGGGAATGTTAGATCCCCAAAACTCACTTGGAAAAGGACCTAATTTTATAATTTTGTTTAGAAAATTTGAATTTCTTTGTTTTCGCACCAAAAGCGCTCTTGTCACCTTCATGTCGTATTTCCCACTGGGAATTATCATAAATGCTATTGGTCCGTTGCGTCTTTTAGTATGCTATTTGGTAACTCTCCCCCAAGGACGGTTTTGTAATGTATATATACGTTTTGATTTGTGTTTGTTGTTATCACTCGTTCTGGCTGTTTGCAGAACATCTCTCCCCATTCCAAGCTTGTACTTCTTCCTCTAGTTAGCGGGGCTGGGACTCATCAAATAGCTAGCTTATTGGTATTTGGTCACTGAGTCTTTGTTCCGTTCGCAGTCTAAGTGAACTCATAATCGCTTCAAACCTAGCAAATAGAGACAAGTATTTACCTCAGATAATAGATGAATGGTTACACAACCATTTATGGATCAATCAAATTTAGACATTAATACCGTTGGACACCAACTTAGTGATCTAGAGACTGAAGGTCCTCGGTTCAAGTCCCGCGTGTCAAATCGTTGTGATTGTTTATCAAATCCACCATTACACTTAAATCAATTCATTTAATGATCAAAAAAAAATATTCATAAACGTTTGTAAGCACATTATTGCGTTTATGTTTTCATTAATTTTATTTCTTGAGTTTGTTCACATTAGGTTGTTTCTCTTTTTTTTCTTTTTACAAATAATTATTATTTATCTGAATTAGTTGAATGATCAATGTTACAACAACAACAACAAAGAGAATTAAATTAAAAAACGGATGTAAAAGAAAAAAACAAAAAGAACATTTATTTAACTAATCTCTTGTTCTAATTCTAAGGCAGGGCACCAAATTTTATTACATTTTTTGAAAGATCTACCCTTATTGATTCCATCAATATTGTTCTTCCTATTATTATTATTACTATTATTATTACAGTAATTGTTTATATGATGATTTAATAAGTGAAATTGTTGTTCACTTAAATCTTTATTCCTTTTTAAACATTTCTCATTTAATAGTTTATCACTTATTAATGATTCATTAGTAAATTCATTGAATGGAGAAACGAACATATTCATATTCAATGTTTCATGTGTATTCAATGTTGATGATGTGAGATGTTTTAATGAAGAGATTGGAGGAGATTGTGGTATATATTGAATTTTATGTGAAGTTTCTTCTTTTCTTTTTTGTTTTTCTTCTTTTTCTTGTTCTTGTTCATCTTCTTCATCATCATCATCGTCGTTGTCGTCGTCGTCGTCGTCGTTATCTCCTTGTTCATCTTCATTATTGATCACTGTTTCATTATGATTATGATCAGATAATGAAAGACAAGTAAATTTTTGTTGTTTTTGTTTTCTCAATGCCATTACATCACGTTCAAGTTCTTCGGCTTCTCTTTTTAATTTAGCTCGACGATTTTGAAACCATGTAATAACCTATTTGAAATAGAGAATAAAAATAATAGAAATTTTTAATAATAGTAAGAATAGTTGATCAGATTACATGATAATACAAGGAGATATGTTAAACGTTCGTTGGTTTACTACAAAATCTGTAAATTATTCATTTACCCAAGATAGAACACTTCATAAGTATTTATCTAAATGGTTTGAGAATGATTACTTATCATTTTAGTCTTTTATTTAACATAGCCAACTGATCAGATATTAGAACAAAGATATTGTCTGACTGAACTGTACTTTAAAACATAATAGTCTTATAATGGTAAATCATATTATGTATTTCACTAGTTGAAATCATGTGTCAATCGAAGCTAGACCATCATGAAAAACCTGGAAACACTGGACAGCCGTTTCGTCCTAGTATGGGACTCCTCAGCAGTGACGGTGGCGCAATTTCGTGGACTGATTGAAGTTAGACGTTAACACCGTTGGATGCCGGCTCAGTGGTCTAGTTGAATAAGCGCCTGGAGTGAGACTGATAAGTGCTCAGTTCGAATCCCGCGGGGGGAAGAAATCGTGGATGCGCACTGCTAAGGAGTCCCACACTAGGACGAAACGGTCGTCCAATGCTTTCAGGTTTTCCATGATAGTCTAGCTTCAATTGACTCATGATCTTAACTATTGAAATTACTATGATATTCACAAAAACACATTGTGATATATTACTTATAACTTAATGACTTATTTTTCTAATCACCCAGTTGTCTTCATAATATGAATTTAAATAATTATATCCATCTAATATTGTGAAAGATGTTATAAGTTAATGTTAGTCTAGTTAATTTTGTTAGATTTGTTAGAATGAAATATATTTCATATAATTATGTTAGATGGTTAGAAATAATTGTCAAAAGGTCATAAATCTTTGTTTCGTTCTAGATAGTAATTACCAGTATAACTGATATCCTTCATGAGATTCAAACATGTGCCGGAGTAAAAGATATCATTAGTACAATATTGAGGCAACAAATGATAACTTACAGAACTGAGATGTGCATACAATAATTAATGATCTCATGTTAATCAATATTATGTGGTTAAATTTTGAGCCCTAATGAACTTCCGTCGATTAAGTTGTAATGCAACCACTAAACCAAGTGATTAGACATAGAAATGCCCATAGATGATTAGAGGAAATCGGTATGATGTCTGTTACTGTAAACTGTTTGCCTAATATGCATCACTATTTCATGTGATCATCACCATCAAGTAATACTGTTTTTATGTGGAAATCATGTAAAATATTTGAATTTTTAGTGGTCACTATAGATTTATAACACTATGAGTATAAATTAGACAGTTTTTAGAGAAAAAGTTGTATCATCTTTGTTATGGATTAGATTTAGAACCTATAACTAGATGGTATCGTACAACTGATGATGACAGATAATTCTAGATTCTGTTAGTTCTTCTGAGAAATGCCAAACAAGAAGGAAACCGTCATTCTGTTCTCTGTGTATTCGTTAGTACACTAGATAATCATAACCTGCGGGAAAAAGTATCTTAGTAGATATCAGGATTATCGATTTATAACAACTGTTGAATGATCATTAAATGTAAGTAAGTATTGTTTAATCACCTTAAACCTCAGTACTTCTTTTTCTTCCAAGTATAGACTATTATTACAAGAAGTAGACTTTTCTTTATTGGACGAAGAGGTAAATAAACAAATGATAAACCGATCAAATTTGGCTTGTTTAATGATTCTATTCTCGTTTTTGATGTTCACTTTTATCAGCATATACCTTTTTGATGGTTGCCGTTTTTCTTTCTATCTTATAAATGGATACTCAAATATTATTTTATAAAGGGGGTTTGAATCAATATTCTGATATCGATAATACAGTGAGAAAACTAAGTTTCTCAGAATTATGTGATATATTTGTGCAATACATTTCGAACAGTCTGATTACACATACATGTTAAGACATTTTTATATGAACATTAAAAGGTCAACTAGACAGGTTAAAGGTAAGCCGTAACAAAGAAAATAATAATAAATTACACAAAAGCTATGTGGTTACTACTCTGGATAATAAATCAGTATTACCATGGTAGCTTAAGAGTAAGGACAAATCGTTTTTGAACGCATGAAGGGAATTTCAGTTTCTTTATAGTCAAGGCTTCAATAAACCTAAGTATACGTCCTTGAAGGCTTTTGTATAACAGCACAAATGCTGAACTGATGTCAACCTTATGACGGGTCTCAATCAAATGTTTCGCAATGAAGGATGATATCTGTCTATCCTGTGATCTTATTTGACCATTGAAATTCATTTGTTTCTGATATTGTCCGATGATAATATATTTTTGGATAAAAAAACTATGCTAACATTATTCTTTATTGAGCTTGTGTTTATTATTCATTATAATGATACGACTAATTATTATTAACTGGATAATTGTTAAAATATTAGAGAAGAATTAAACAGTTTTTGGAGAGACTATAATTTATGAACGAACTTTAAGCGATGCCAAAGTGACTTTGAGAGTGTCTGCCTACTTATTGAGGCTAAATGAGGGTTATAAAATAGTTTGAAAAATAAGGATTATGATTCACAGTTGATGGTTTGGGTTAAAATTAGATTTACGGTTTTCAATCACGAACTGACATAAGCGAAAACGCCAAGAATCTATTTGACCGAATGAGTGAGTGAATTTGGCGTTAGAATCCAAGGTCTATTATCCTAAATCTAGTTGGTTCGTCCATAAATTATAGTCTCGCCATTCAGATCTTCAAAGAAGACAAAACATGACAGTTGTAGACCAGTAAGTTTAAGTTTAGTGTTTCATATTGTCAAATTTAGTTAATTTGTGTTTCAATAAGATTTGTACACTAACATAATCTCACAACTAAAGTGACGCTACTTGTTGTGTTTTTAAGGCCGCTTATTATCATGTGATTTATTCGTCAATCGAAATACGACGTATTCGATCTTAATACTGTACAAAACTAATGATATTCGACCGGTAAGAGCAGCCTAGCATCATTATTGATCGTTTGTCCTCCTAGCCCTTCCAGTTGAGTCCAAAACATCAATACCAGCTTCCATTATACGAATCATTTGTTTCAAACATACCTGGTCTGTATACAAGCCAAACAGACCACATCACACCATAAAATAAGAAATAACATTTGCACAAGATCAAGCCAGTAAGTGGCTATGAACGTGGAAGACTGTAATTAATAAACTTGGCATAACTTAAGAACAATAAATCGTATAATAATTGTCTATAGGGCAAAATGAAGCTTATAATATGAGGGATATAGATATACATAGTCTAATGACTGAACAAAATTCGCTTGATGTTGTTTTACATGTATCTTCCCATTGTTATTTAGGACTGCAATTGATCAGTCTCATGTTGGCACACGTGCATCCTGTGCGGAGTGCCTCGATATAGTCTTAAGTCACAAGCTTTTTAAGCAAAAATGGATAGTGGCTAGCAGTGGAAACCAAGATGCGCATTCCGTTCTATTTGGGACGCTTCAGCCGGGTGTACCTGCATCTCAAAGTTGATGTTCACTCCAGGACTCGAACCAAGTACTGTTCGCTTCCATCGTCATCGCGTTACCCACTTAGCTACTGAGTCCCTATAGCCATCTGCTTGTGCAATGGGGCGAGGTTTATACTCACTTGATGTTGTTTTACATGTATCTTCCGATTGTTATTTATAACTGCAATTGATCAGTCCCATGTTGATATATGTGCATCCTGTGCGGATGACCTCGATATAGTTTTAAGTCACAGGCTCAGTAGCTAAGTGGATAACATGATAGAGTTTGAAGTGAACGGTACTGGGTTGGAATCCCGGAGTGAACATCAACTTTGAGATGCAGGTATATCCAGCTGACCAGTCCCAAATGGGACGAAACGCGCATCCTGGTTTCCACTGCTAGCCACTATCCATCGTTGCCTAATCACCGAATAGTTATACAACAAGAATATATATATGTAATATTAGTTCATTAATAGTTATCGGCTGTTACCTGTAGTTTAATCATTACTAGGATACAACATAACTCATTTATACTGAATCGAAATTATCTCATTCTCTTCTTACATACATACATACATACACACATATACAAACATACATACATACATACATACATACATACATACATACATACATACATACATTCATGTAAACACTGACTGCCTAGTTAATCCTTTAATATTTTAATCATTAATTCATAAAGCTAATAATGATCCATATATAACCATAAAAGGATACGAATATGTAAATGTCTATTTATTTAAGTGATAAATAATTATGGGTATTTTCCTTTCAGTCTCTCTCTCTCTCTCCCTCTCTCCCTCTCTCTTTAATTTTTCATGGGAAATTTATGATAATCTCTTGCTTTTACTTTAAGCTAAAGTATAATATAAATAAATGTCTTAGTGATAAAGATTGAAAATAACCTACAAATGAATATCATTCATCATAACTGTTATTGATATTGTTTCATTCAGTTAATCATTATGATCATCATCATCTGTGTGATGAATTACAAGACGATGTATATAGCAGTTATAACAATTGTATGATAATGACCAGAAACAATAATATTTTATGACAATAATAATAACAATAATAATAATAATAATAATAATAATAATAATAATAAGGTTTCGATCACCCAAGTTGGCATTCTAAACAATATGATTATAAAAATTTGATAAATAATAAGTAACTGACTACTTATAACATTGTTATTAGTATTATATATCATTAAGTTTCCGTTTACATTGCAATATTTATTTATTTGTTTATTGATTTATCAACTAGTTTACAATAATTTAACTTGAAAGAAAAAATGGAGCAAACTAGTTAATCTTATTATTTTGATGTTGATCCACATGTATTGTCTTGTATTTTATTATATCATTACTATTGTTTTATCTGGATCCTTCCCTTCTACCTCCTCCCTTTCTACAGCTCTATACATATATACACTCTTAGATGAGGATAAAATTTGGTTAACCCTTGTAACGAGTTTGAAATAATCATAATAAACTAACTAACTAACCAATCGACTAACTAACTAAGTAGCTTATTTAGTAAACTAAGTTTGCCACACTGGTACAATGAATGGCGCCATATATATATATATATATATATATATATATATATATATATATATATATGCTGCAATTGTATAGCATAATGTGTGTTAATCCAGTAGTGAATATCATATTAATACAATATAGTTCGAAAATTACCTGTGTATTAGTTAATCCTAAATGTTTAGCAATTCGATCACGATCAGTTGGTGTTAAATAACGTTGACGATTGAAATTATTTTCTAATTCATTTAATTGACAATTAGAAAATGTTGTACGTGTTTTACGACGTTTACGTGTTTGTGAAACTTTATTATAAAATTGAATTGTAGATGATTCATGTAATTCATCTAAATGATAAATAAAAAGATATATAGAAGATATATATATAGATATATACAAAGAGTTGCTTTATAGTGAGTATCAGACTTTAATTAACAATGATTACTTAACAGTTGAATTCATGAATTAATCTAAGCTAGACTAAGATGGAAGATCTGAAAGTATTGGATAGCCGTTTCATCTTAACATGGGTCTCATGAAATTTTAAACATACTTCAATCTCTATAAATTCTCATTCAGATAATAATCATGTGCTCATTAGTAATTGGCTTCAAGATGATTTCCGAGAGATCTAGTGATAAACTGTGACCAGTGGAGTTCAATCTGTGTTTGGTGGAGAGTTATTCACCTCAGAAAATGGATGAAGTGTTGTGTGAAATCACAGATCGATTAAAGTTAACCATTGATACCCTTGGATGCCGGCTTACTGGTCTAGAGGTTAAGTGTTCGCATGCGAGACTAAAGGTTCAGGGTTTGAGTTTCATGCGTGGAATCATGAATGTGCATTGCTAATGAGTCTCATACTAGGACAAAATGGCCTCTCAGTGCTTCCAGGTTTTCTATGGTGGTCTGTTTTATATTGACTCATGAATTCTACCACTGAAATTACTATAATCTCCACAAATCCCCATTCTGATAATGATTTTTTTAATGTTTATTAATGTTGGTTAATTTGGATTTAATAATGTTTCTATAAAGTTGAATTAATTAACGCCAATGTAAACTGTATGTAGTTTTTGGTTAAATTAACATCAAATAAGATGTACTAGTGTTGAGTCGGTTAGTCTAGTCGCCATATATTATGATCTTAATAACTTAAAGGTAGAATGTTTAATTTTTACTTAATAATCAGTTTATCTATCCATTTTAATTAATGAACAGTTTAATAGTTTTATAGGTAAGCTTGGACATTCTGGTGAGTGGTTTACTTTACAGTGATTAAATAACTAACTTATATTTATCAAAGTATAATTGTTGACATATACTTCTGAATAATGTCAGGAAGTACTTATCTATACGCTATAAGTCTTGTACAATGTATATTTAAATCAATTTCTTTTTTGCCGTGATAAATCTACACCTTTAGATAAACTACAAATTGTTTTACCATGTTATTTCACTTTAAACAATGTTTCATTGTCAAACTCAATCTATGGTAAAGTATGGATGATTCCATTTTGTATTTCAGTTATTGATCACTTGCACTATCATAAATAATCTATTGTTTTAGCTATGTCCTAATGAGTAGGAAAATTTGTATTACTAAGGTTTCGTAACTTAATTTAAGCCACTTCTTCAGAGTATACATATATTTGTTACTAACTTTTCACTCATTGCTCAACTTATTTAAAACGATCAAGTTCATACCTTTTATATGTTTCTACAGTACTGTAGTTTAATAAAAACATTTCTTAGTTAATTTTACACTGTTGTAATTATGGAAACAAGTCATTTTTTAATGTGCCCATCAATGATGTTTCATAATTTTAAACAAATTCAATCTGTAACTCCTTAACAAATTGTAACTAATTTATAATTTACTGAGTGTTGTCAAACTAGTAAGGCGTATTAGTACGAAACTGGTTATCCTCAGAAAGATTTAACTTTTGTATGTACGAGTAGTAGTATAACTGAGTTACATGATTTTATTCAACTGATAGTTATCCAAAAACACTTCATTGGTTTAATTAGAACTGATTTAATCAATTAATTATTAGTTAGGATATGGTGAGACTCTCCAATGTATTTGTTAATGACTAATTCACTATTGACATGGTTAAAATTGATTGGTCATTACACGACACTAAAACTTTAGGAACCTAACTTATCATAGGTCAACTGTCAATAAATGAATATAGTTTAATTTAGTGGTTTGTTGAAATTAGTTTAATATGTTAAAAGTATTTATCATTGTTTACTATCATTTGATGCATCATCAAAAACCATAAATGACTGGATAGCTATTCCATTCTATTACAAGAGTGAGCTACCTTCAAACCATTGAGTTGGTCTATGTTCTTAACTTCTATCAATTCATTGTATAAATTCTGATATAAATAATTACTTTGAAAAAAATAATTAATTTTGATAATGTAATATGAAGACGAAGATTATCAGAATTAGGTGATTGTTTATTAGAGCAATACATTTCGAATAATCTGATTACACGTATACTTGGTAAGAGTATTTATGTATAGAAATAAAAGATCAACTAGACTAGAAATGGAGGGTGTTGTACCAAAGTGTAAAACGGCGTATACTAAGGTTTATTGAAGCCTTAGTCATATGAAAATGCAAACCGCCTCTGTGTATTTAAAAACAGTTTGTTCTCAATTTAAACCTACCCTGGTAGTAATATTAGTTTATTATTCAGAGTGATGAGGTTTCAAATTGTTTTCATATTATTTCCTTTATTATCCTTGTCTTCTCTTACCCTCCATTTCTAATCTGGTTGACCTTTTTATTCCTCAGACTTACATATTCTTAACAAGCATATGATGTGTGATCCGATTGTTCGTAATGTATTACCCTAATATATCATCACATAGTTCTAATAATCTTCGTCTTTTTATTACACTATCAAAGTTTATCAAAGGGACTAATTGCTTTAAAATAACTAATTTCTATTCATGTTATAGAATTCAATAATTAGAAAATATTTTGGTGAGATTATAATTTATGGACAAACCAATGAAATTAAGGATAATAAGTCTTGAATATTTATCCACTTAGTATTATAGCTGATGTTAGTTCATGATGAAAACTTTTCCTTCAATACATAATCGTTAATTCAAAGTCTAAATCAACCCCATTCTTAATTCTTTATATTAACTTGTAACTCTCTTTTGATACTCACTAGTAAATAGGTAAATTGTTTCAAGATTACTCTGATTGAAATTAAATTTCCTTTATATAAATAGACTATGTTTTCTATGTAAAATAGCTAATTATCAGAAAGGGGTTTTGCAAATATTATAATAAATTTATAATTGAGTTCATGAGTCAATTGAAGCTAGATCATCACAGAAAACCTGAAATCATTGAATAGCTGTTTCGTCCCAATGTAGGACTCCTCAATAATCCACATCCAATTATGAATTATCCATTTCATATTAAAGGTTTTGGAAAACGAACAAACTAAATCAGTTTCAAATAGTGTTACATACTTTTAAATTGAAAACTTATCTCTTTATATTGAAGTTTAATTTCTGTTCATAGCCACAATGTGAAATGATTATATTTAAAGTATTGAACTAAAAGTAATTATTACCATAGTTTGTTCAATATATTCAATAATGTGTAAATATTTCATTCTTATCAACAATCATACATTAAATATGTTTGTTTATATAAATACAATTTAGGAAAAGCCAATTGTTGTTATTAAATGCAAACAAAAATCATCAATAGTAAACAGTTGTTTACTTATTTTTTTGTAATGATAAGATGAGGTAAAGTCGTAAATTTACATACCATATATATATATATATATATATATATATATATATATATATATATATATATATATATAACTTCAGTAAACCACTTTCATACCTACATCAATGAAGCCAATATATATATATATATATATATATATATATATATATATATACTAGAAATGATAGTTATGTAAATCTAAAGACATATTATTATCATCAATGAAAAGTGTAGTACTTATAAATATCGAAATTATATCCATTTTAGTAAACGTATATGACTAATTAAACCACTACACATTTTATAAAACGTAAGCTATTCCATTTAGTTTAAAGTTAATAGATATTTATCCTCAGATTGGAGGATTGTGAAGATGATAGTAATTTATTATTTTTTGATTGAGATCATGAACCGAGTGATATTATATCACGATTAAAAACCTAGAAGCACTGGACGGCTGTTTCGTCCTAGTATGGAGCTCCTCAGCAGTATGCATACACATTAATACTGTTGGATGCCGGCTCATTGATCTAGGGGTTAAATGTTCGCGCATAAAACCGAGGGTCTTTAGTTCGAACCCCGTGCGCGGGATCATGAATGTGTATTTCTCAGTAGTCCGATACTAGGACGAAATTGTCATCCAATGCTTCCAAGTTTTCAATACTGGTTTAGCTTTAATCAACTCATGAATTCAACTATTAGATATTTATCCGTAAGAAATATGAATATATATATATATATATGTTTAGAGATTACTTGTTCAATATAAAAGTGTTTTATCAATTTATTTCACTGTTTACTGAATATTAACCTGAATTTTGAATTTTCTACCAATATTATTGTTACTACAAGTGTATTAGCTTCATATGTTTTATTAATTTTTGAATATGCTACTATTCTATTTATCAGTAGCATATCTACTTAAAGTAACATGTATATATATTGAATGGATAGTTGTTTTGTTTTAATGAACACTGACATTTTCAAATGGAGGATTTAAATGCCAGGTTAGTTGGTTAGAAAATAAAAAAACTGACAGTAATCAAATAATTAATTGATGACATATTTTCTATTTTATTTCATGTTTTTAAATTTAGTTTTGGTATAAATTTAAAACATTTTTTTTTGTTTGTAAAAAGTATACTTTCTAACATTTTGCAATAAGATGTTATGTTAATTAGAAATGTTTATATTAAGTTGAAAAATATTAATATTGACGACAGTTAATGAACTTTTGTTCCTTCATAAAGAGGAAAGGGTAATTTTTCTAATGAAGTTCAATTTTTTCGGGTGTGAAAAAGTTGCCTACAAAAGATAATGGTAGGTGATGGAGCAGTATCGTGAAATATTCGAAGTTAGACGCATATATCATTTGATTCCGGTTCAGAGTTCCGAAGGTTAGTGTTTGTGTACGAGACGTACTGTCCTGGGTTCGATCCCTTTTTTATGGTTTCTTGGGCACGCACCACCGAAGAGCCTTATACTTGGACAGAATGGACATCCACTGACTCTAGGTACTCAATAGTTGTCTAGGCTTGATCGGCTTGTAATTTCAGTGACATTTAACATT